AACCATTTATGTTTACCTAACTGCCCATTTGAATTGGGAGATTAAGAATTAAAAGAAAGTAAATTTAACTTTCTTCTTCAAAATCACATATTTGAATAACTTATTATGAGAAAATCAAAGTGAAATGTAAGAATGTATTTTCTTTTATCTCTTATATTGTGTTTGGTTGAGAGATTTTGGGTGGGATTTAGAGAGGAATTTGAAAAGGAAAAGGAAAAGGTATGTGTAATTAGGTAAAATGTAGGTATATTTTATTCACATTTTACCTAATTTTTCCTTTCCAAATCCCTCTTCAAATCTCCTAACCAAACACAGTGTTAATGATCACTTTTTGGATCTTTTTTTAGAGATTTGAAGAGAAATGAAAATTATTTAGGAGTTATCAGTTTTGTCCATATTTTTATCTCTATATTTTTTTTCCCCTTAACAAGAGCAGAGAATAACTCATTTTGCTCTTTATTTTTCTAAATTATCCAACCAAGAATGAAATATTGGGATCATCTTTTTCTTCCTTCTATCCTACCCAATTATATAATATCTCTTCCTTTCTCTCATGTTTAGCAAACAAAATGTTTAAGGTGTTTTCTCCACGTTATAAAGATGATCTACACTATTTTAAGAGATTGAGCTAAGTATGTAGCAACATGGACACGGTACTCTTCGTTTCATTATTCCTAATTAGGTGGAACAACCAATGTTATGACAATTTCAACCAAATGCAGAACTACCCTTTTCTTTTTTTGGGTGAATAGAACTACCATTTCCACATGACTGTTTATTGAAGTTCCACCTACCCCTTTTGGATCTGAATTTTTTGGCCTTAACATCAAAACATTCAAAACTTAACTCAAGGGCGAGCTTAGACACCAATTTAATGGACTGGCCAATTCGTCCCATTCCGATGCCAACATTTGCACAGGACATCTTAACTTTTTTTTTTTTTTTTTTTTTTTAAATGTTATGCTTAGTTTAAAAGTTTACACATTATTTTACAGGAAATTATTCAATATTTCTGGAGTATCACGTGTTTGTACTCCTTAAGCAATCATCATTCAACATGGCCTTCATGTTCTCAATCACCCAACACAATACACCACCTACTTACCTTCTCCACTAATCATAATGTTATAAAGTATCATGTGTCTCTACTTCAGAATTACTGAATAATTACTCTTAATTTACTCTGTCTCCGATATAGATTGTGAAGTATTTGAATCTTACAATGTGGTATTTTGGCAACAGAGTTTTTCGCTGCGTCTGGTTGAGAACACCAACGCCAGACGCCAGCGTTTTTGGGCAAAAATTGATTTTGTATTGTGATTATAATCAACTACATGAAATTACGATACTACCCTCGTTGGGTGCAGATCTTTCAGGCTAATATATTACATTGGGTGAGGACATTTTGGTAATTTTACAGTTTTACACCATGACATGACAACTTAAAAAATTATTATCTAAAAAAATAAAAAAATAGCTTTTTACTAACTTCCCAAGTCATTTTATAAAAAAGTCAAAAAACTTGATTAAAAGCAAAAAAAACAAATTTTTACCACCTTCCCAAAACAGCCCAATATCTCATGAGAGGGACAATGAATCTCATATCCATCTATGTCGGAAAAAAATAAAATAAATAAATAAATTCTCATATCCCAATTAAAAGGTGGGTTAAATCGATGAGAGTAGATTGTCTCCAATTGGTTTATACTGACAGTGAAGGCCCCTTCCCTCTCAAAACAAAGTTGAAAAAACTCTCTTGTATGGAAGGTATATGATTTTGGCAAAAAACAAAAACAAATTGTTCGCTTCGCCCCTGCCTATACCATTTAGCTTGACCTATTGAAAGTTATTTCAACTATTTAAACTGTTTATTCGTAAGATTATATAATAAGATCATCTATTTTAGAAATCAACTTGATTATATCATATTTATCTAAAAAATAATTAGTAGACAACCTGATTTTATAAGTAATCTATTTATTTTTTTAGACAATTATGATCTCATCAAATGATTAAGATTATCTAAAAAATAATTAGAGGACAACATGATTTTATAAGTAATCCATTTATTTTTTTTAGACAATTATGATCTAATGAAATAATTAAGATTATGTAATTAAATTAATTTTTAACATGAATAATGTGTTAAATTTTACAAAATGACCAATAAGTTGAGATATAGCTCACAATTGACCGGAACAATTCATTCAGTTGGCCAAACTAACGGGAGAAAATCGAGCATCTACAGTTGGCTCCATTTGGTTGTGTTTTGAAAACTTAGTTCTATACCTACATTTGAATATGATGTTTGGAAGGAGTTTTAGAATTAATTTTTTAAAACTCTGCAGAGAACTCTATTCCAGGCGCGATTTTCAGAATTTTTTTTTTGCAAATTTTGTCTAACCGTTCATCCGGCCGGTTGACCGGAATACTGATTTTTTTTTTTTTGCAATTGATATGTTAATTTTCATATAATCGAAAAAAACATTTTTCGAATTTTTAAATTTTTTTTACGTACTTCAAAAATAATTTTGAGTTGTATGTTTAGTTATGAGGTGTAGATTTTTATATCAAATATCAAATGTCACATCAACAATTCTCCACTCAAATCAAAATTCTTTTCAAAATTCTTTACCAAACAAATTTTTCACACTCAAATCATAATTCCAAATATCACAAATTCAAAATACAACTCATACTCTTAAATTATAGTTACAAAGCTCTACCAAACGCAAGTTTCGTTTGACTATTGTGGGTCGAATAGGATTGAGTTAGGAAATTAGTTATTAAGACAAAGCTTTTGTTTGGCAATTAATTTTTTGAATAAAAAAAGTATAAAAAAAATAAATTAAATGAGTCAATAAGATAAAATATCATATTTAAATCATAATTATTTTATTTTTCTCTCACAAAAATCAAAAAAATCAAAAAATCAAACCAAACAAACTTTTAATCCCAAAAATAGACAAAAATCAACTAAAATAATATATTGTCAAACAACGACAAAATAGTTTAAATAGTTAATAAAATAAAATGTCACATTTAAATTATAATTATTTTAATTTTTTTATAAAAATTTAAAAAAATTTAAAAACTAATGTAAATGAACTTTTTAATCTGAAATTAAAATAATTCAAAATTTAAAAAGTCAATTAAAAAAGTTTTTGCTAAAAGAGAACAAAATATTACCTAAAAATTTCAGATATTTCAAACATAGTGGGTTGTTTTGGAAAGTTGGTAAAAAGTTGACTTTTGGCTTTTTATCAAGCTTTTTGACTTTTTTGGAAGTGATTTGGGAAGTTGGTAAAAAATTGACTTTTTACTTTTTAGTTTAATATTTATTTATGGTGTCAAATCAAATTAAAATGACCAAAATATCCTTACCCAACATAAAAAATTTATTTTTTTATTTTTTTTCATAGGCCCTAATTTGTAATTTTACGGCTGCATTTTTGGCATTTGCCAAATGACTTTTTTGGCGTTTTTGGCTGTCATGTTTTTGGACATTTGTCAAAAAACGTGGCTTTTTATCATGTTTCCAAAATGGCACAGTGTTTAAATTAAGAAAAATGACCTATAAGTTAAAATTTTAAATTTATTTATAAATTTAGACATTGTTTGGGAACAGAATATTTTAATAAATTTTTAACTAAAATACGAGATAAAAAAATTAAATATTTAGATTGATTTTTTGATTTTTTATTAAAATATGTGAAAAAAATAGAATGAAAATAAATTTTTTAACATTTTATTATAAGTTATAAATTTTTTAATTTTTAATATTTTTTTTGACTTTTAAATTAAAACAATTGAATGTTAAATACGACCTTAACGATGTGTTAAAGAAGATAATTGATTAATAATCATTAAATATAAAAAACAAGTTAATTTTTCAACTTGATTAATAATACAAAAATACTAGAGGATTCAAAAATTCTATCAAAATTTTTATCAAATCTCTCATATGGGTGTGGGACCCACATAAAACTCACATTGTGTGAGTCCCACGCCCATATTAGACATTTAATAAATTTTTTAATAAAATATTTAAGATATCTAATATTACTAATAATAATATTAAGTGATCTAAAAAAGTCTGACATGTATTTGGATCACACGACACGTCTCATTCACCATTAAACTTGCAAGATATTTTCTGCGTAAGGCCGTGTAATAATCATTAAATATAAAAAACAAGTTAATTTTTCAACTTGATTAATAATACAAAAATATTAGAGGATTCAAAAATTCTATCAAATTTTTTACCAAATATTTCATATGGGTGTGGGACCCACATAGGACTCACATTGTGTGAGTCCCACACTCATATTAGACATTTAATAAATTTTTTAATAAAATATTTGAGATCTCTAAAATTACTCATAATAATATTAAGTGATTTAAAAAAGTCTGACATGTATTTGGATCACACGACACGTCTCATTCACCATTAAACTTGCAAGATATTTTCTGCGTAAGGCCGTGATTGACCAAGTACATGGTCCCCACATGCCGGACTTGAAATGGAGATTTCAAACGAGTTAATAAAAAGGAAAATAATCTAATTTTCGTCGAAAAAATATTTTATTATTTTAGGGTTGGTTTGGAATGTCCTAAAAAAGTGCACTTTTTCACTTATTGGTGGGTTTGGATTGGGTTTGGGTTGGATTTGATGTGATGTGTTAGAGAGGTGATGTGATTTAAATAAGATGATGTGACTTAAATAAAATAGTGACTTTTTGACTTTTTAACTTATTTAGTACATGCCAAACTACTCCTTAGAAAACCAAAACACAAGCCAGACACGTTAGAAGAAACCAAAAAAAAAAAAAAAAGAAGCAAAAGGGTGGCGAAGCCCGTGAAGACCGAAGTATTCGGCCACGCGCCTGCGTCTCCATCATCATTACTTTTCTCTCTCCTAATTTCTGTCTCTTTCTCTCTCCTCTCTATTCTTTCTCTCTCTAAATTTGTCACCACTATATAACCTCCCTTCTCCACAACTCTTTCCACCGCATCAACACCCCCTTTGTGATTTCTCTCTCTCTAGACTTGAAACCCTAGCGTTGGCCTATTTTCGTCATTTTATATTTTGATTATGGAAGAGGTTAGTAATAATAAGAAACGAGTTCGTGATGACTCGTACGAGTCGGACTCTGACTCGCCGGAGGTGAAGAGACTCAGAGATGATCTCTTCTGCAATCTCGACGACTCAGATCTGTGCACGATGAGTCCCGATCTGGACTCCTTCATGAAGAGCTTTGAGGTAGAGATAACTGCTTCGCCGCCGGTGACGGTGGTGGATCTGACGTCAGATTCCGGCGAGTCTCAGCCGGATCTAGGTTTCCTTCTCGAAGCTTCCGACGACGAGCTTGGTCTTCCTCCGTCGAATACGACGGCGAGCGACGAAGAGGTCGTTGAGTTGGTGCGAGTTTCGTCTGACTCGTCGACCGAGTTCAGTGAGATGTGGAGGTTTGATGATCAGATCCTGAGTTATGACTCGTTCGAATTTGGAATCGCCGGCGAGGAGAACTATAATCGCGATGAGAACGGCGAGTATGTGGCGTTAGATGGATTGTTTGATTATTCAGATCCGAGTTTTGGATTGGCTGATTCGTCGGTGGCTTTGTGGCGGCCGGAGACGATGCCGGCGGCGCAGTAGTACAGGCCACAAGTTTTAATTTTAATGAAAATTATAAAAATATTTGTAAAGTTTTTTATTTGTTAATTTATTTATGGTTCTAATTAAAAATAGAAATTAAGATATATTATAGGTAGGAGTGGAAAATGACAAAGCCAGAAAGCTACGGAGATATTTGTTGATTTTGACTTTTTATTTATTTATTTATATAATTTATTAATGAAGAAAAGCTGCAAGACGCATCTCCTCACAAATTAACGCCGAATGCTCTTCTTCTCATTATCAATTTCATCGACTTTCGTTTGTTTCTATAGCGCGCTATTTTACGTCTTCTATTTTTTAATATATTTTTAAAATTTTTTAGATCACATTATTTTTATATTTTTCATAAAAAATTAAAAAAATGTATTTATTTGAATGATTTCAAACATTTGTAAATTGATTTTTTTTTTTTATAATTGATATCTTTTTCAATGTGGATAAAATTAAAATGGTTATTTGCATATGTTTACATCTTATTTTTGCTTTTTATATGTTGGTAGAAAATTGATATTGTAATCCATATTTTCTATTTAAAATTGGGCGAATTAAACAAACGATCCATGTAGTTTGGGAGTTATGTCACTTTAGTCCATGACTTTTCAATTATGATACATTTAACTTTGAATTTTGAATATTGTTCCAAATAAGCACAATTGAAGATATCGTTGCTCTATTTTAGAGGTAAAGTCGTCAATTTGATAAAATGTAAACTAGTTTAACAAAATTAAATGTCAAAAAATATTTTTTGAATTTTTAAAAATTATTTCTACTTACCAAAGATAAAATTATTTAAAAATGATAAATTTTTTACATTTTTTTTAATTTTTTTTTACAAATTATTTTTTAGTATGTGTTTTGATGATGATCATGTAATGGATTGTTATTTTTGTTAATGTTTTTAGATGATTAGCATGTAATAGACAATTGTATTTGTTGGTAATAGATATTTTTGGATGGTTATTATGTAATAGATAGTTATTAGGCTTTTAATGTGTAATTGATATGTTTAATATATGGAATGTTTTAAAAAAAATTATAAATAGAGTCAAATTTTAATAATTTAATAATTTAGCTGCCAAAAAAAAATTAAAATTCATTTATAACTTGGGCAATTTAGGTTTAACTCGGGTCGGGCTTTGGCAGGTCTTAACACAACTTGAGTTGGGTTTAGACAACTTCCTAACCCGCCAGAACCCGCCCGAGCTATACCCCTAATTTTTACTCTATTTAAATTTTTATTTCAAATGTGAACTAAATATCAAAAGATATCGAGAGAAATATGTTTTATACAAAATTAATTTAACATCAAAATAAACAGAGGCTTATTTAATTTAATTTTTAGAATTTTTTTTTATATCAGAAAATATGTAATCTTAATAGTGATAAAAACATAATTTAATTGATATATATATTTTTTTTAGTTATAGATGGGAAAAATCTTTTATTGCAAAAGTGATAAAAAAAAAAAAAAATTAGATCAATCTGGTACACTGATATCACAATTCATAGAGAAGAAAAGACCTTATAATATCAAAAGTGATAAAAAAAAAAAAAATTAGATCAATCTGGTACACTGATATCACAATTCATAGAGAAGAAAAGACCTTATAATATCACAATCCATAGAGAAGAAAAGACCTTATAAAGGGAGGGAAATAAATCTCCACACCTAAAGGATTATTACATCAATAAATTAAAAATTAAAAAAAATCAAATAAAAAATATTCATATACAAATCGTCACCAAACTCATTCAAAAGTTTACTGCTTTGCAACTTCTAACTTGGAATAGCAACTTCTAACTTGGAATCTGAAGATCCTATCCTTGTTGGTCAAGATAAAATATTGAGGTTTAAGTGAAATAAACGTGTTGTTATTTAGCGTCAACTAACAAACGCATTATTTAGCTTCAGCTTTCATACTATAAGAGAATCTGCAGTCAAATTTTAAAATTTTGGATTCGAAAGGTAAAGAAAGGTGGTTATGGCTGAATTAGTGAGGTAAACATCATGTTTGAAGGAGCATCAAAAAGAGAAAGAGGAGAGGAAGATCGAAGAAGTGAGAGAACTACAATTGTCTCCCTCTCCCCTTAGAGGAAAATCTAAAAGGAAAAGAAATACTCTCTATTCCAAAATAAGTCCCTTTTGGGAATTTATTTTTTTTTTATAGTACAATTATTGTATTTTAAAAATATTATTTTTGCAAAATTATCCTTTGATAATATATTTTTTTGAGAATATCAATTATCATAATTACACTTTTTGTATTGTTAATGAATTTAAAAAAAGAATAAAATAGGAAATTCTTAATATTTTAGTCTTCGATTTTTGAAAATGAATTAATATTTTAGAATAATAAAAAATTAAATAAAATCTTAATATTTTAGTCTTCGATTTTTGAAAATGAATTAATATTTTAGAATAATAAAAAATTAAATAAAAATTAATATTTTGAAACGAAAAGAGTAGAGTTTTAGGTTCAGAGAGTTTTAAATATTGAAGATTGGAGACTTTCTTAACATATTTAAATTATATAATTGAGCACTTATTATTATTTTTTTTTTATATAATCTTTTAATTTTGAAACTTTGTTTTGGATGACTTTTACCTTACAACCAAACCATGCTCTTTTTTCATTCCTAATTAAAAATAGTAAAAGTAAAGAAAGTGTTTGACTAATAAATTTGATGTCTGTTTGGGTCTTTTTATAAATATTCTCCTTTGTATATCAAATCAAATCATGATCTAATTGAGTTATAACCAAATATTAATTAAGATATAATGAAAGATTTTTATTTATTTATTTATTTATGAATATAACCAAAATAACATTTATAATAAGTCCTAATAAATATCATCATGTAAGTCGTAAGTGGACATATGATTTTAATTATTCAATTTTTAAAGTGACTTTTCTTGCCCATTAAATTATAATTTAACGCCTGTTTCAATTAGATCACATTAGTTGAGGCTAGAAAATCTAAGGACTAAATGATATTAACAGTTTATTGATGAAATGGAAAAATGATGATAGTTTAAAATTAAAAGTAAAATTGGTGTAGGTTCGATACTCTTCTGTTACGCAAGTCTTAACTTAAGTAGAACTTGTCTCGCGAGGTCGGGACAAATTTTCAAATTATAGTCTCTTGCTTAAAATGAACAACATGTCATTTTTGTGATCTGCATGGGGCGCTACCTTAAACTTATAAAAGAGTGGAAAAATTTTCCTGTAACAAACCAAAAATAAAAAAAAGTAAAATTGAGCTAAATTTTTTGTATTTTAGGTTTTTGTTTCTGGAAACGAAAATGGAATCATTTTTTCATTTCATTACAATGTTCATTATAATGTTTGATTTATTAAAATAAATGATAAAAAAAGCTTTGCAAAATTATTATTTATCTTATATGACCCATTTATCTTATTCCATCTTATTTCAAATAATCTAAACACTGTTTAAGAGAGGGAAAAAAAACTGAAAGAATTTTTATTTTGCTTCTTTATATATTATACTTTGATGACTTCAACCCTTTATTTCAATTTCACATAACATTTTCTTACGAGGATTCACTGGCAGTTGTCAATTGGCCCTTCATTTCAAGTGAAATAGACCGACTTAGTTGGGCTTGTCTGAAACTGTAAGACCATCGCCATTATGGACTTCATTTGGGCCTTCAATGGCCTATTTGTTTTTAGGATTCAAATTCTTCATTTCATTTCATGAGCAATCCTGGTAGAAGATTCACTTTAACAAATCTCTATTTTACATTTGAAAACATTTAAAACAAGTTTCAAAATTATAATAACGTAATTTTTATGAAGTGTTAATTTTAAATATTGTGGACATATGAAATGAAATAAACATTTAGGCCATGTTTGTTTACTAGATTATGTTGGATAAGATTGTGAGTATTGCAAGACTGAATGATGGGATTACTAGTATGGTGATATTAAGTTGGAGATATAAGTTAAATTATATTTTTTTTGTGCACTCGTGAGATAATATTAATTAGTTATCACTAAATTTATAAAATTACTTAAAAATCCTCATTATATAAAAAGATCACTTTGTTATTTTGTAAAATGAGGGTAGTGCCTTTTTACTTCCAATCTGATTGTGAATCCTACCTTGGCCATGAGATTATTAATCCCACCCTTTTGGGGAATTAACAATCCTATGGATTGTTACTCCATAGCTTTTATTATAACTAAGCAAGATTGGGGTAATATCACATAAGTGAAAGTTGCAAAAAAACAAAAAATACAAATTAATGAAATACCTAAAAGTCCTCATTATACAAAATATTACTTTATTATTTTTGCAAAATGATGGTAGTCTTGTCTTTTCACCTCTTCCGTGGGATTACTAATTCCCCCACCCTTTGCAGGGTATTAACAATCCCACAGGATTGTTAATCCCATAACCTTTGTTACAACCAAACAAGGTTTAGGTAGGATTCACCTCACTCTTAATCCAATCCCACCATCTAAGAGGGATAACAAACATGGCCTTACATTCTATCTATAAAATGAAGATGATCAAAATTTGTAAAATTCTGATTTCAATTTGGTGGAATTTATGATAAACTAGAAGCTTGGTATGGAGATCTCCATTTTATAGCATGAGGTATTACACTTTATTAATTTTTCTATAGAAAAATATTTGGGAGTTCTAATTGAGTAATCTCTAATTCACTCATAATAATGTCTAATGGATCCCACTCGTCACTCCTTGTCCTTCCTTTCTCTATTTTCTCTTTCTTCCACCTCATTAGATGTCAAAATAGGAGTGATATATTAGGGGATGTAGCACCACTCTTTTATATATAATTAAATGTTCAATTTAATATAATTCTCATAATATTTATAATTTATATTATATCAGTTGATTGAAAAAAGGAAAAATTACAAGTCAGTGAATCTTTCAAAAAATAATTATAAATATATATATAAAAAGAGTTTATAATTTTAGTTATTAATATTTATAAAATTTATCACTATTTTGTAATTATTTTTTGAAATCTCAACTGGTGATATTTCCCCTTGAAAAAAACACCCCACTTTCTTTTCTTCAGTTCAGTTGCTTATTTATTCTAAGAGTTTTTGGAATTTTTACTGCATATATGAATTTTTTGTTAATATTTAATGCCAGTTATTGTCAAGTGTTATGTTTGGATATTGAATTTATAGAGAATAGGTGAAAGATAAAAGATAAAAGATAAAAATA